GAATCTTGCAAGTATCAGGAGGTAATAGACACTCTTTTATTTCCCATTTCCTTTACCTCTTCTAAATGGATCACAGCTGCTCATGTTTTTGCCTTTACTGAACTACTTGTTTCTTATCTCTCTCTCTATCTACCTACCTACTGCAGGGGTGCCATTTAGGATAGAGCAGTAGGACTTCACCTCCCCACAGTCTTCACCAGGACCCCAAATCCATCCCAATATACGTCTAATTCTAGCGAGAACAGAGCGTGAGTCAAGCCAAAGGCCACCTCGGGACTAGGAAGCCCTTCCACCCAGCGTGATGCACCTTTGCCCCTCCTGCAGAGAACTGCAAGCCCTGCCTCTACTGTGCAGGAAACAATGAGTTTTTGTGCACTTACATTTGAGTAGATTTTCCCTCAACATCTACTGAGAAGGCTTGGCTTTCTTCAGTTGAGTCCATTTCATTTGAGGAGAGCAGCTGGGTTTTTGGCCGCTGTGAAAATGAAACTGCATGTGCACACAAGAATGGGGAAGAGAGATGGGGTCCAGCTGTGGCACAGGCAGTCTCCCAGTCACTCTTCCTGTGTGCAGGCCCGTTTCCCACCTTTCCCCTCCACACCCTCACACCTTTCTGGTGCAGCTCTTCCTGCCTATTTGAACCCTCCACTTGAAAGTGAGCCCCTTCCCTCCCCACTCCACGAGGGCATCTACCGCTGCTTCCCTTCCCTGTGCTGCTTACTGCTTTTTAACATCCATCGTCCATTTCATGGACGTCTAAGGGGAAACTAGAAGGCAAAAGTGCGTTCTTGTTCTGCCACCTTGAATCAGAAGCTTCCAACCCCAGTTGCTTTCTATTGTACTCAACTGACTCAAAATGTTCAATTAACTGACAGTGCCCTTAACTTGTTTTCCCGGGCCATTCAGGACTTTTCTTTTATCTTAATAGGGCTTTGGAAGGGAAGAGCTGTAGATCTCTGTATGTAACCCAATGCGTGGCACCAAAACAGAATTTTGCACTCTCAAAAACTCTGCCTCCAGCTAGATGGTGAACAGAAAGCAGTGTTATTTTCTTATTAAGCCCTCAGCTTATGTATATTTGACAAGAAAAACACTGACTTCAATACAAAAGCAAGCAAAGGATATGTAATCAAGCAGGACCCTATTGTCATCTCTGACCATCTGATAGCTGTAGTGGTGTTTGTAACTGCTTAATTGTATGATGATTTAAAGGGGTTTTCTCATGCTCTTGTTGACCAGGGTTAGACCAGAAAGGAAGGAGGCTTGAGTAGTCCACCCTATGCCCTTGTGGTGCTGGTGTTGTATGAGGAATCATGCTCAGTGCCTTGCTTTTGCCCCAAGTATTCTTCTCCTGACCCCAGTGCCTTCGTCTTGACCCCTTGTGGTTTCCTTGTATCCTGTTGTTTGAACTGCAGGCCTCAGCCTGCAGGAGGAGGTCCCAGGCCTTAGTCCACTTAAAAGGCTAAAAGCATTTATCAACCTGACTTTAAACTGTGCAGGTTTTTCTCTAGAGGAGTTTTCCGTGGAGCCCCTTTCTACACATCTTTTGTTCTAGTTACAAGAATATTAACAGAGTCCCAAAGCTGGAGGTGAACTTCCTACCCAGCAGAGGGAAGGGGACTTCTGCAACTGCAAAATCAAGAACAACTTTGCAATAGTTTGTTACCCTGTGTGTGATCTCTTTGGACACTGGCTCCGCCCCTTGAACTCTTGAACTTTTACTATAAAGCCTCCTGCCTTCCCACCCCTGCAGGCTCACAGTCTTAGAGGCTTAGCCCACTTTGACCTCCTTAGCCTGGCAAACAAATAAGCCTGCCTTTTCTACTTCATTCAAAACTCTGTCCTCGAGTCTCAATTTGGTATGCAGTGTATGGAGGCTGTTTCAGTAACAGACACATGAATAAATCATTCAGTTAAGAGAAAATGCAAATACACTTACAAATGAATCTTGTCTGCAATCTAACAAATGCAATCAGAATGAATGAAATACAGATTTTCAGTGGTCAAATTTTAACAGATTTTTAGCGAAATCGTCACTTGTTAATCATTTGTCTTTTGACTATGCTCATGGTGCTTTTTGTCAAACCAACGTTTTTCACTGCCATGACTTCTGATTTTGAAAAGGAACTTAAAAAGACCTTCTTCACTCTAAGATTAAAAAAGAATTTTTCCATGTTTCTTTCTTGCTCTTTTATGATTCCATTGTTGTGCATTCATATCTTTTTTGATTTGGATTTTATTCTGGTATAATATAAGGTAGAGATTTAATTTTATATTTTTTCAGATGGCTATATTTTTGTCCCAATGCCACTTATTGAATGGTCTGTCTTTCTCCCCAGTGATTTGAGATGCTGCCTTTATCAGATATACAGTTTCCCAAATTATTTGGGTGTATTTCTGAATTTTCTGTTCTGTTTCATTGGTCTGTTACACACTGCTTTATTGGTTGAGGCTTTTAAATATGCTTTCTTATCTGGTAGGTCTAGTAGCCTCTTCTTATTCCTCTTTATTTTCAAAATTTTCCTGGGAGATGTTCTTGCTTTTGATTTTTCTTATTTATTTTTTTCTCATATGTAAATTAGAATAACTTTATCTAGTTAAAAATAATTATTGTTGTTTGATAGGAGTTGTATTAAATACATAAATTAATTTAGAAGAATTATCCAAAAATATGTTTTTCTCCATGGGTTTAAATGTTTTTTGTGCCATTTGGTGGTTATTCAAAATTTTATTCATATAGATCTTGCACAATTCTTATTAAAGTTCGTTGCGTATTATGTTGTTATATTTATATATTAGTTTATTTATTTTTCTATAAGTAACCTTGTATAAAGTTGATCTTTTCTTCCATTATATCTTTTAATGAGTTGTTATTCAGATACATGATAGCTATTTTTTTCTCATTTTGACTGCCGTTTATTGCTGAATTCTTTTATTGTTTGTGCAGTTTTTTGGATGATCCCACCTTGCTTTGGATCTGATACTTAAGTGAGAAATTTCTGTTGTGTATAGACAATGAGGTTTGGGGCATGTTACTGAAGTATTCTCTGGTTATCCTGACAGATACCAGTAATTTAAAATAAAACAAGAAAGATGCTCAACACAAAAATATATTAGGGTAAAATTCTGTGGGGGCAGTGGTATGGAAGCAGGAGTTTAAGGAGAAAATGCAAAATGAAATTTTGTTCTGTTACAGAACTCATTCATGTATTCTTAAAATGGAAAATAGTGGGACTGAAATCACCATGGTGTCTATATCCCAATGGATATGTTTTAAAGAGTAACATCTAGTTTTATTTAAAGCTATCAACACTTACAGTGTGCCAAAAATCAAGTCCTCTGCATGTATTTTAACTTGCGCTGAAATCTTATAGATGCCAAGTCTTTAGAAACAGTAGCAGGTATTCTTGGTTTGGACAGGGCAAGGCAGACTGTGCGGGGTCTTCCTGCTGAGTGCAGGCCCACAGGCTCCTTCAGCTGTCTCTGAGCCCCATCCGGAAGACCTATCCAACCCTACATCCCAGGATTCCTTCCCCTTTTTCCAAGGCAGACTCATTTGCTTTCAGCCCAGGTAGGGAACCTATGGTCCCATTAATGTTACAGACAGTAAGCGTGTTGCCAGTAGATATAGCCAGTGTCCAAGTTCTAGTCCCATCCCAGAAAAAATTCAGAGACAAGACATGGAGATCAAGAAAGTAAAATGGGGATTTATTAAGGGATGGATGGTACACTCTCAAGGGGAAAGCCAGCAGGCTCAGATGAGCAGTTACACTTGAGATTCTTTGGCAAGTTGGTTACATCAGCTGTAAAAACGAGTGGGTGGAATACTCGTTGGGGAGAGAAGGCCTTGAGGTTGTATCCCCTGACATTCATCCCAACTCCACCTTCTTGAAGGAAAGAGATTTTTGTTCGTGTTTAGACTGGATCGTGAGTGTCATGGCATTGGTGCATGATGGATACTTCTAATCTGCAAGGCTAATTTTATTGAAATGAGGGCATAATGAGCAAAAGGTTACATTTGGACACTAGAGATTCTTGCCTTTTTCACCTTCTTTTAATCGGCCTCTAGGCCACTTGTCACTCCAAAATGTGTGATTTCTTATCAGTCCCGAGGTTCCTGTTTTTCTTTCTCTGCCCGGGGACCCCTGGTGCTTACATGATGTAGGATTTCCTGCATTTGGCCCCTGCCCCTCCTGTCTGCCCAATTCCTGCCATTTGGCCTGGGTCTCCCTTCCTCTGCTTATATCTAGATGTGTGCCTGCTCTAACAAGAGCAGTTCTGGGAAAGCACAAAGCCAGACCTCCCCTTTTAAGAGCAAGTACCCCAAAGCCAGACGTAGGGGTTTCAATCCTGGATCCCCTTCCTCCTAGTTGCATGCTGTTAAAAAACTGTCAGCCTCCATTTGCCCTAATTTCTTCATTTGTAAAATGATTTATTTACGCGACTTCAGGAACGCAGAGCACCGAGAACAGCGATGAGCCCGCGGCAGCGTGGCGGCTCCGCGAGCCCCTGCGATCCCAGGCCGAGCAGCTAGCGTCCGGGAGGACAGCGGGGCCTCCCGGACCACCTGGCGGCCAGGAAGAGTGCCCCCCACGCCGCCCGCGCCTGCATTTACACAAGGGTTCCAGCAGTGCGGGGCCGTTTAAAAATACGAACTCGAAAACACTGTTTTGATCAGAAGTCAATAAAACGCTAGAATTATGTTCCACTATGTTCTTTCCACACTCCACCGCCAGGAGCGCAAGGACAGCGCGAGGAAAAACATTCCACAGGAGCGTTTGCGCCAAAAGGTCCACAGAGACGTCCCCGGGCGCCGTTGACCCCTCGGGCCCTCCGCCCTCCACGCTCCACAGGCCGGGCCCCGGAACCCAGCCCGGGGGTCGCCACTCTGCGCGGCC